AAGTAGAATAACGAAAAACTTAAATTAAAATGTAACTTTGACGCCCTGTATGTCGGCAACCGTCAACTTTTGGACTAAGGTAAGTTGTGTTAAATAATCATATTTTCACCCCAGAAATCCGCCATTTTGTTTTGTGCCATTACTTTTGCGACACCCTGTATATCAATTTGCTTTGTATATCAATTTGATGGATGAACAAAAGAAAAAAAGAGAATTTGGGTGAAACAATGTAGGAAAAAGCATAATACATATGCATATGACATTAATAAATGAATTAACACAATACTATCCTGACGACTTTAAAAATTATCTTCGTATGGACTGCGAAACTTTCAAAATTTTGTTGGATTTAGTATCACCAATTATTTCTAAGCAAAATAGCAGATATTTGAGACCACTCTGACATCACACAGTAAAGTCCTGCACGAAAAGCACGATCTACAAAAAAGTGTGCAAAATTTGCAGTTCGTTACCGCAACATAAAGCCTGCATGTTTCAACGTGCAACTTTCGCGTACGCCAGTATTTTTCTTTAGGCTAGCGTTCTTTAGTGCGCGACTGGAACGGGGCGCTCCAATCACACACGATAAGAGCGTAAGTGTAAAGGAACTTATTTTGACTGCCGACTAAACGTAGGTATACGATCCCTTTAATGCGCATGCGTTAACTGCAGGTTTCTAGCTGTTGAATCAGCCCTGTCCTGTATCACTCACGTTAACTTTAACGTGCATGTTATCCATCAAACATGTTATGTGGCACCAACTGATGTGTTGTATCAATATCAATAATCAACCTTTATAGTATAACAGGCGCACGCTATCAACGAACGTTATATTAAGAAATAGCGCTTCAGAATAACAGCATTAAATCACATGCCGCTATCGAACTTAACGTGCGTCCCTCTAAGTTAACCTCGGGGAATAAATAAAACAATTGTATTTAATCAAAGCGTAGTTTTGTCTTTTAGCTATAATTTTGTTTTTAATTTAAAAGAAAAATATGTCTTTTGGTGGTCTTATAAAGTCAGCTTTATTAGAACAATTGGTAAATCGTCTTGATAATAAACTTTATTTTCCTCCACAAACTCTACTAAATTTTCAAATTGTTTGCCGGTTGTTTTTTTTGCCTCTTCTGTGCATGCGCAATTGAAAGCGTTTGAGAAGATAGGTCAAGAACAGTAACGAATCAAATTGAAAGCGAATGAATGCAAATCATAAACAAAGACAAGAATGGTAGTAGGTGGGCCGAATGGTCGAAACGTGCACATGTGATGCATATGTTTTAGAAGCATCGATGGTTTGATGTTAACTCTTTCTCTAACTAATAGACTATTCGTATAAGGGCATCTCACTTTATGCATCCAATATTTTTTTCCCTTTTAACGTTTGATGGATAACTGGGTCGGAAACGCATACGTTAACT